TATGTGAACTCTGCCACCAAGGGTTTTAACTTTTAAGCCATGTTTACAGCTTAGCGTGATGTGTGAACAACCTTCTCGCTATAGCCTCAGTAAATCCCTAGACTCAGGTGAATGTGCTTCTGATTCATCTCTGTATATGATGTACTTTCATGCCATATACTCACCACACAACTGAGCTCAACAGAAAATACAGTCTAGTAATCTGGAAGGATCTCACCTAACCTGTTTTCCTCTGTACCATTTTTTTTTACCTTTTTGAATCTCGGCATTCGCTGGAAGTGTCCTGGGGATGGCGGGACATTGGACTGGATTTCCCTGAGAAGCCACTCTGTGTGTTCCTACTTGGGGATTCTTGCGGTTGTCTGTTGTCTTGTCTTCTGCTATCATGCCCTGAAAAATCAGCATCCTGGGGATGGCGGGACATTGGATTGGATTCCCCTGAGAAGCCACTCTGTGTGTTCCCACTTGGGAATTCTTGAGGTTGTCTGTTGTCTTGTCTTCTGCTATCATGCACTGAAAAATCAGCGTCCTGGGGATGGCGGGACATTGGATTGGATTCCCCTGAGAAGCCACTCTGTGTGTTCCCACTTGGGGATTCTTGAGGTTGTCTGTTGTCTCGTCTTCTGCTATCATGCACTGAAAAATCAGTGTCCTGGGGATGGCGGGACATTGGATTGGATTCCCCTGAGAAGCCACTCTGTGTGTTCCCACTTGGGGATTCTTGAGGTTGTCTGTTGTCTTGTCTTCTGCTATCATGCCCTGAAAAATCAGCATCAGCATCTCGGTGCTTCACTTTGTGATGTCTTGAGCTGCTTCTCTGCATGCTACCTTCTTGGCTGGTCCTTTCCTCAAGCTTGCTCTGCTTTCTGATAGTTTGTCTCCCCAAACTCCCAGCGCCCTTGATTCTTTCATCTTCAAGAGGAATTTCATGGCCTTTGTGTTCTTGCTGGTCTTCTTGCTGGTCTTCTTCAGACTGCCTGGCTATGTCCTGGATTTTGCGTTGTCTTATGTCTGACTGTCCTAGAAATACACTTGGCACTATTTCTTCCGCTAGAAAAAGAGAAGAAAATAATCAGATGTGCTCTCTCGCTGCTATTAAACCCTACACATTTTCTCTGTATAACTGCTACCTAGGTATACTAAGGACTAAGTCAGTTTCAAGAAGATCTTAATTCATTAACGCTATTTTAGGTCCAGGGATTCACCTCCATTATATTCTATATTGAAGGGAACAGGATTTGGGGATAGGGTCACAACCTGTGACACATTTCAGGGCATTCTCTGACAGTTAATAAAAACTACATATATTTTAAATTATCACAAATATTTTTGAGTGCAAAAGGGGCCAGCCAGGTAGGCAATGAAATGAGATAGCAGTAGAATCAAAAATAATGTCATTTTAGTGTATCGAGAGAACCATATTTTTGAATGGTGTAATAAATTGCCTGTAAATTTTACTGAAAAGTGGCATTGTGAACCACTGGGTAGAACAATTTCATTTATGTTTTCTTTTTAAACTTGCACTTCAGCATTAAACAATTTATTTATTTATTTATTTATTTATAAATAAATAAATAAATAAAACAATAAATAAAACAATAAATAAATAAATAAATAAATAAATAAATAAATAAATAAATAAATAAATAAATAAAACAATTTCATTTATGTTTTGTTTTTAAACTTGCACTTCAGCATTAAACAATTTATATGGAATCCCCTATCATCTCCCTCCCTCTCTCTCTCTCTCTCTCTCTCTCTCTCTCTCTCTCTCTCTCTCTCTCTCTCTCTCTCTCTCTCTCTCTCTCTCTCTCTCTCTCTCTCTCTCTCTCTCTCTCTCTCACACACACACACACACACATTAACCTGCATTTGAAATTATACATATCTTCCACAACTGGTGGCTTCCAGACCAGTTATAGTGGACTGCAATTCCCTGAATTGTGAGCAAAAATGCTGTTGCAGAATTTTGAGAATTGTAACATCTATGCATTTGGAGACTATTGAAGTGAGAAAGGTTGGTGACTGTAGAAGTAAATCAAACCAGCCATGGATTCAAATAGCAAATTGTGTGTGCAAAAGTATTTTTAAATTCAGTAGAAACTTTTTCCATAGTTTTCTATGACTGCAGTTTGACAAAAGAGCTGACTAACAGATTCTACTGACAATGGAAGAATTGTACCCCATTTTAGGAATATGTATAAATTCTAGTGCTAAATAAACTAAAATTAAGCCAACACTAACTCCACCTTTGCCACTTGAACAGATTGTAATAATATTCCATAGTAGCAGATTTTCAAAAATACAGCAGAAGAGCTTTATAACTAAAAAACAGAAGTATAATAAAAGCATGTGCTATGGCTTCCGGTTTTGCACAGTAGTGCAGCATCTGAGGAATTGTGGGGCTTCGCACCCTACAGCTGATTTCTGCCTGCTAGGGGACCCTAAATGAGCCTGAAGTTGCCCCGTAGAGGCAACAAAGAAGGAAAGAAGTCCTGCCAATTGCGGAGAGACGGCAATCAATCTGATCAGTCAAGGAAAAGCCCCCCAGAAGCCAGCAGGAGAAAGGCTAGCTTAACTTCAGAGTCTACCCCAAGCTACAAGCTGCCGAAGCCCATTAAGATGACTGTAAACAATGTGTTTGGAACCGAGTAAGAACAGTGATTTTCTCTCTTCTACTTGACAATTGATTTCCTGGAAAAGAAAAAAGAAAAAAAGAAAAACCCCAAGAAGCAAAAAGCCTTCAAAAGTGAGAAGGAGGGGGATCTGGCCCACCCTCCTGCAGACAGAAGCGGCGAATTAAACTTTTCACAGGGAACAAAAATATATTGAAATGAAATTAATATAAGACTTAATTTGGATAAGTTTGAAATCGGTGGAAACTGTTAAGAGTTTCCTTTTAAACCGTGAAAATAGAAGTAAATAGTAGAAGTAAACAATTGTCTATTACTGAAAAATGACCTGGTGCTGACATCTCGTGGTGGATGAAAATACACAACAGCAGTTGCTCTATCACAGGAGCTGGTATAGCCCAGGAAAAGATAACTTGTTTCTGGTGACCTTCAATGTCTTAATAACAGAAAACAGCTGTGACAAAAAAGAGAGAACATTTTGGGCTATTTGGGCTAAAGTGAGAATTATAAACTTTAGGAAAAAATTGACCTTTCTGGATTACAAATACCAACTCAACCATGACTCTAAAGCTATCTGCAAAGAAAGGAAACCCCTGATTTTTGGCTATCATGGGAAATCAGAGATCTGCAGAAAGAAAAAGCAAATAATTTCCAGAAGGAGATCTATGCTATGGTGCAACAAATCCAAACAACAATGATCTCAAACCATAAGGAAATTAAAAATAACTTTGAAAATATAAATGAACACATCTTCAATTTAACTTTACAACACACAAATTCTCAGAAAACAAAAATAGAGAGTGAGCAGAAAAAACAGACAACTGAATATGAGACAGAGGAGGTTCCGGTAATTTCAATTCCCTCTATCACTTCTTCTCTATTTGTAAGAATTAAGTCCAGTATAGCTTTATGTCTAGTTCCCTCCTCTACCTTTTGGGTAACAAAGTTGTCAGCTAGGTTGGTTAGGAATCTGAGTGATCTCCCGCTCATTGCAGAGTTTGTCTCCCAGTTGATATCTGGATAGTTAAAGTCTCCTATTAATACTGTGGTATGCTTCCTACATTTATTTATTTATTTATTTATTTATTTATTTATTAAATTTATATCCCACCCTTCTCCTTGCGGACTCAGGGCGGCTAACAATCGGATAAAATACATAAATAACATTACAATTTAAAAATTAATTAAAAAAGAAATATTTAAATTTAATCTAATTAAAATATAATTAAAACCCCTCTAAAAGTTTCCCCTAGGCCAGTCCCGCAAGCTGGAACAACCATGTCTTAAGGGCGCGGCGGAAGGAAGGGAGATCAGGGATCACCCTGATCTCTGGGGGCAGTTCATTCCAGAGGGTGGGAGCTCCCACAGAGAAGGCCCTCCCCCTTGGGGTC